AATTCATAGAAAACACTTACCAAGGCTTCATATTCACCCGGTTACAAACTCACACCTATGGCAACGGAGATAGTTTGCTGTTTTGCTCAAGGGGGTATTCCAGAAAACGGTTTAAATAACCGCTGAACTTATCCATGAACTGCGAGTTGACTAACCCTGAGCTGCTCAGAGTAAATGTAATTAACTCTGAGGTGATTCGCTTAGAGTTAAGCGTATGCATGATGACTGTTCAGCAGATTTGGAGTGTTTTTAATGGATGATGGTGTGCTAGAATCCAACTGATATAATGCAATTATTCAGCTGTAAGCTGATGGGGACAAAAGCAACAGCAGAGGAAATCAAACAGGAGAGAGAAGTTTCTTCATAGAGCTTTGACCTCAGCTCAGTCTGACCCAGGAATAATGATGTTGGTGGTTTATAGGTGGAAAAGCATCACAGTTAAAACAACAGCATTTTTAGACATCAATTATATATGTTAAAATCTTTCTTGGTTACTTTTAATAAACATACAGTATTTAAACATGCAGTGAATTTAAACATAGCCATTGGAATGCTGTTAAAACAAGCTAAAGTTATATGCATATTAAAAAAACTACTTTTAAAGTACAGTGCATTTCATCCAGTATTATAATGTTCAAGTTTAAAGCTGCACTACAATCACAAAATCCTCATTATATCTAAAATAGAAGTGTTCAATAACAACACAAAATATTATTTGTAGAGTAGTGTCCTATGTGGCTATAGCCTCACATTTTTTATTTATGTAGGAATGTACAGTAGATGCTTCTCATTGCCAACTGGACAGTTGTCTTCATGTCCACAGTGATAGAAGGACAGACAGTATATGGATTCTGAGCTGAGGATGAATCTATGCTAGGCTACTGGTATTTACACTAAGGACTGATTATGTTAGTAAGGATTTGTCTTGGGTAACAAACTGTTAAGCTAACATCTAACTAAGATTTTTATCCTCTTCTGCTGACTTCAACTTTAGATAATTAATACGCTTCAGTGTGTTCTTTAATACGGACTGTATGAATGAGGAAATGAAACAGCATGTCAGACTCTGCAGGAGGGATGAGACCGAGAGAAAAGCTGAGTTTGTTGAAGAAAACCTGCCAGCGAGCAGGTTAGATTCACAGAGTAAGTTACTGCAGTAACTGACTCAGAGTTCAAGTGCATGATCTCCCTTTCTGGACCTGGAAACCCAAGAGTTTTCTCAACTCGGTGAAAAAACTTTCACTTAACCTGCTTTTCTGGAATACCCCATGGGATACTTCAACATCAACAACATTGGTGAATAATGTATTAGGTATTATGGGTTTTATAATCAGAGAATGAAACATGAAACTGTATTATGGTTTTTAAAAGTAACGGTTACATAAATTCACACCTGTGTAGCTGCTGTTCCAAATAATCATGTGCCAGGTAATGTCTCTGTAGCTGATGTTTTGCTCTGTGCAGGAAAGTGATGTCACACAACATTTACTTTGTACTATGTTTAATAAGGAAATAAAACAATGGTTATCTCAGTGGACATGATCATTTATTTACATATTTTACCTGTATGTAGGCTACCCGGAAGTCCTGTCTGCCAGCGGCATGCAGCTGTAGTCTGTACAAACATTATCTGAGAGTTGCTCCATTATCTACCCCTGTTCAGTGCCAGAGGCACATCATGACCATGCTCTAAGCAAAGGGAAACCAAGTCAAAACTGTATGCTAAGCATAATGCAGGCAGTCGCATGCCAGGGATAAAAAGGGTATCGGATTTGTGACAATGCCACAAGCCAGAAACTTCTATCAGGGTTGTAACTCAGTCTTCCCACAAGATTTCTTTTTCTTATTTTGCTTGCAATATGACTCTGATGGTAACATATTTAACCATGGGTTCTATGAAATGAAGAGCTTTAGAACATTTTATCAGTGTAAGTAGCGTATAAAATAGGCTATAACCATATATTTTTATACTGTCATACAGATCAGAAATTTTAGGTTGACTGGTGACTCATCTGGAAGGGCTCCCGAGGTTTCTTCCCATGTTCTTTTAGTGGTTCTAAGGTTGATGGGGAGTTTTTCCTCATCTTAGAGAGAGCATCTGTTGCTGATCTGAATCTGTGAGCCCTACTGAAACATCTTCATGCACACAAACTCTAACCCCTTCATTTCTTTGCATTTTGTTCATTCATTTCTCTTCATTTGTGCAATGAAGAGAATGAAACAATTTTTAAAAATGTATTATTTGGTTTGTTATTGATAAGGCTTTCAAGTTGCACTATAGTAATATTAAATTTTTTGAGTTTGCTTTAGAGACTTAGACTTGGATATTGGTTCAAATACTTTTGTTCATCACTGGTTATAAAAAGAAAAAAAAAAACTTTTGAACAAAACAAGTTTTAGGTTTGACAGAAAAAGTGATGGTGACAGTAGAAGTACCTTGTTGAGTTGTCCACCACTGTCGATCGCTCACATTGAGTGAAGACACTGAACTCCATCACTCCATGCCAGCTAAGGACGTTTTACTGGGACTGTTATTCTATACTGTCAAACAACAAAACATCAACAAGTGCAAAAGGGATTCATACTTTTACAGGACGTGCACATGGTCTCATGTCTGGAACTTCACACTTTTGATAAAGTGTTACTGTTTATCCTGAACAACATATGTTTCAAGCACCAAATAACAAGTGCATTTTATTTTTTTCTGCTTGTTTTGC